TAATAAATAATAATTTTACATCAAAATGACAATTGCCGGTATCAAATACAGTCGACCCCCTATAACACTGTTCATTTTTCCGTTTTATATGAATTCCATGTTGTATGAGTCACTTAGATTTTACAAATACGTGAGCTGTTCACAGCCCGGCATACGTATTTGTAAAATCTAAGTGACTCGTACAACATGGAATTTATATAAAATAGAATTATCAACAGTGTTATAGGGGGGGTCAACTGTAGTTTTAATTAACTGACTCCCTAGTATTAATAAGTATTACATATTAATATTAGAATATATAATATTATTTTAATAAATTTTGTCATTTAATTTAACTTAAGCATATTTAACACAAATTTTTGAATGTAAATTAATGCAGTTTTTATTAATTAATTTGACTTAAATTTGACTGTGGTGTGTACCAGAAAACGGAAATAGTATCTTTCCTGCATGTGCATTGAAATGTAATTTCAATAGCAACATCATCAATGATTTATATTGTGACATAAGACAATTTTGGTGCCACTAACTTCTGAATTGGTAGTCCTGTCATCGATTGGTCGAGCCATCATCATTCTTTAACCTAGGAAGTATAGGAAGTTGACCATCAGTGGCAGGCTCTGCCAAGTATCAATAACTTGTTTGGCAACTGGGCAAAAATGAGCTCAAAATTTTGTTCATAAACTGAATCGTTTGAAAAGCAAGGTGTTCGAAACCCATGGTTTGACTGTCTTAAAGTAGGCCTAGACTTCACAAATCTATCAGAAAAATGAGAGAGAGCATTAGCTTGACAATTGGCATGCAGTGTGTTACACACAATTAACAACAATTGGTACAGGGATTATCTTGAATACTGATAGTTGTCAATTCTAGGGTTATCACCTCTAATCCTGCCAACTCAACTTTGGTAATAAGTGTGTCAAATAGAAATGATTCAAAACTTTATTGTAGGGATTGTGAATTGTGTATGTTTTATATGGACAGTGGCCAGGACCACTGCTGTTTCATTAATTAGAGAACTTTGCTGTATATTATAATGTACATAAATTATAAGTGTAAATCCAAGGATGTGGTTAAGTAAAGAAAATGAGGATTGTTTATCTTCAACTTAATTACATTTAGTTAGACAACAAATTATATCAAACTAAGACAAAATATATAAAAAATTTATTATTCATTATATGTAGTTATAAAACTTTTAGTATAAACAATAAAAATCAAAGAATAATTATTATGTGATTTAAGTTTTTTCTGTTTAAAATAATGAAGCATTCATTTCATTTTATATAGAAAGATTTTTATATTTTTTCAAATTCAGCAGCATTTATATTTGACAAGATATATACTATATATGATGATGATCTATTAATTTTTTAGTGCAAATAATAATAACTTGTAAAATGACATTCCTCATATAATATTGTATATTTATTTTTCAATACTGATAATCTTGGTTTTACTGGTTGTACTGTTATTAAATTATTCCGAATAATACAGAATTTTACAATTTATAAATTAATTTATTATATTTTATAATTTCAAATTTCTATTTGTTATATTAAAAATCATAAATTTTTATAACAATTTTTCTATTAAAAACATACAACTATATATTATACAGTATGTATAATATAAATCATATTTTGAATTTTATATCAGCATGTGATAAAACGTAAATCTACAATGAGATTTTCCGAAAAATTTACTAAAATAATATATATAATAGTTCTAGCCACAAGTATAATAATAAAATAATGAGTGTCATTATAATATATTTCTTTTTATATATAAAAGACCAATAATCTAATAATTTAAACATTATTTCAGTAATTTTTGTTTAATTTACAAAATTTAAAATTATTATTATATCAGTAAATTCAATCAGTAAATCAATATGAGTACTAGTTATAACTGATATATGTAGAAGTATAGTTCAATATAGTCATCAAATAATTGTTTTTGGTCTTACTAGCTTTTTTTTTTCTTCATGAAGTTATCTGTATACTGTATACCAAATCAAAAATATACATAGATTTCATACAGATTTTATGCACTTAACATTTTTATGATTATTGCATAATCACAAAAATTATATATACTTATTTATTTATAATTTTTACTTTTATATAATAAAAATGTGTATATGTTATAAGTTTTTTTTTACCTTTTTTCAGTTAGAAACTGCTAAAGCTTCAGTGAAATGTTTAAAGACATTAAGGCATCCAAATATATTAACATTTGTAGACAGTTTAGAGGTTTGATATTTTTTATAACCAATTAATTCTTATTAAATTGTAGTATATAAATTAGAATTCATTTTGAATTGTAAATCATTTCAATATTTAATAATTTAAGTTTTAGTTTAATCTGTACTTATGTATAAATGCTAGAAATTAATTTGTCTTACATGTAGATATTTAGCAATTACAATCTTTATAATAATAATAATAACCTTTTGCAGACTGACAAATTAATATATCTAGTCACAGAATATGTGGAATCTTTGGAAATGCATCTGGCAAATACAACTATGAACAATGATCAGAAAAAATTAGCAATTTCTTGGGGATTATATCAAATAACGGTAAGTTAGATTTTTAAAAACCTAAGTTAAATGTGAATTCAAATATATAAAAATATCAAAATAAAATAACATAATTGTACTTTTCTTATGCAAAAATACATTTTTAAATATTTTTTTTTAATTTGAATGCATCTGACAATTTTTTGTCTTGTTATATTTTACACTTTCATGATTAATTGTTTGATATTGCATTTATTTTTATGCATATTATCTTTCTCTTGAACTTAAAAATTTTGTATATATATATATTTTTCTTTGTTTATTTTATGTAAATAAATGAGCCCAATGACATTTCCCTTTCCTAAATTTCCCTTGGTGTCATTTTTTCCTCACATCTTAGGTAAAGAGTAAGATAAATAACAGAAGTAAAAGAGGCATAAAAGGCTGTCCTTTAAAAATTTGTTAATGAAATTTTTTATTTTTATGCAAATTTTTATTGAACATTATATAGAAATACTTTCAAAAATGAAAAATAAATACTCATAATGGAGAAAAGTAATACATAACAATTAAATAATAAAATGAAAAAGTTTAAAGATATAAATATGTTTAAAATTTGAAAATGAAATAATGAAATCTTCTGTATCTTTGAAATAAAATTTAGTGATTAAAATCTTCAAAAAGATTTTTAAGATGAAAACTTGTAAATATTCAAAACAGAAGGAAAATTTTTGTAATCAGATTTAAATTATATTTTAATCATTAAAAATGGAAAGTGTAATTGTAGGCGATGGATTTAATGTCTTGATCTTCAGGATCTGGTTTTTTTATTGCCAATTTTTGATTTCATGATATCATAATTCTATTTATCTTCATGATTATAATTTTTCTTTGTTTTTTTTATAATACTCTATTAAAATTTAAAATTAATTTCATATAAAAATTCATACTGAATATTTCTATGGGATGGCATTGAAGTTAGCTGTTTTTATTATTGCTACTATTTCAAATCTACTAATTGGATTAACACAGTTTAAGTTTAGAATTTACTGGATATTCAATTGAGTTAAAATTTTAAACACAAATTGTTTATCATTTAACTTTATTTTGCATAAAATTAAATCTTACTTTTAAGGTAAATTAATAAAGATATAATAAATCATCATATTTGATATATTGTATAGAATAACTTTGTTTCTTTAGACATTAGAAATTTATTTACTAAATTAAAATGAAAAATTATTATGGACTTATTAAAGTTATCACAAATAATGAGAAATTCATTTAAAATTAATTTTTAGTTAGCTAGAAAACAGCTTGATAAAGATATACATGATGTTTTAAATTTGAAAGTAAAATATGAAACATAAGAAAAATTTATTAATATATTATATATCAGGATGGCAACCTTTCAGCAGTATTGGGCAGAACCTAAGTTATAGTGTTATTCCAGGTGCTGACATGATTCTACTAATTTTATATATTTTATCAAAATTGGTCTGGTTATAATGGATTTCAAAAATATATAATTTTGAAGTTAAGTTGTTAATTGAATTATGTTCTTACATGTGAGGTGCATGCACAACTTGTAAATGGTGACACAGAGCATAAACTCATGCACTGTAATAAAAATATACAAGCAAGAGATTTGTTTTTAATGTATCATGACCTACATTGAACTATGGTTTTCATTTAAATGTGTAATTAATAATTAAAATGTAATTTTTACTGCATTTTTATTCAATCAGAGTACCACTGAAAATTGTTCTGCCTGCCACAGGTTGCCAGTCCCTATTATATATTATAATATTAATGTTTAATATAATATTTATTGATATTAGGTAGCCAGTTAATTAAAATTAATAATTAATATTCTGGTTTTTACACCAAAACAGAAACTAAAATTTAAAATAAAATGAAAATTAATTAATTAAAATTTAAATTTAAATCAAAGTCATTGAAACATAATATTTTGGAAAGTGTGGATAAAGTACTTGATTAATTTGTTTATATTTAATCTAGGCAGAGTTGAGTCTCTATTTACAGCATTTTTGTAAAGTGTCAGTTTTGGTTTGGATTGGCAGTGACCAAACATTTTGCTTTTAATATATATATAAAATGGATATAGATATATCAGGTCAGTCCATAAGTTTATGTCTATTTTTATTACCGTGAGAAAAATCTTGTTTTGCTGTTAAAAATGTCAATCTAATGTGATACTTTTTACACTGAAGTGTTAAATTGGATCTCATTCATATAATACTGTTCAAAATTGAGAACATTTCAGTTGTTTATTTTGGTTAAAATGGAAGTAACAGATGAATATAAGAGAGATGCTTTATACTTTTTATTTTTAAGTGGTGAGAATGCTACAAATGCAGCCAAAAAATTAAATACTGTTCATAATCAAACTGTAATTAGTGTAAGGACTGCACAGAAGTGATTTGAAAGATTTAGAAATAATGATTTTAGTGTGGAGGATAAGGCTCATACTGGAAGACCCATTGATTTTGATGATGATGCTCTCTCTGTAACAGTTGATGAAATTGCAGAATGTTTAAATTCATCCCATGGAACTGTTCATAGACATCTACAACAAATTGGAAAAGTTTCAAAGGTAGGAAAATGGATAGCACATGAACTGTCAATAGCTAACCGATAACAATGTGTAAACATTTGCACATCTCTTTTATCCCGTATTGCTTTAGAACCTTTTCTTGATCGGCTGGTTACTGGAGACAAAAAATGGATCCTCTATAATAATGTGAGGAGAAAAAGACAATGGATTGCGACAAGCAGCCAAAACTGGCTGCAAAAGGTGGGTTGCATCCAAAAAAAATTCTTTTGTCTGTTTGATGGAATATGTCAAGTGTAATTCACTTTGAGCTGTTAGAAACTAATCAAACAATTACAGCTCAAATCTATTGTGATCAATTAGAGCATTTAAATGAAAAATTGAAAAAAAAATTTGCCCATCATTAGTGAACAGAAAGCAGGTTCTCTTGCAATTAGAGGATTTGATTCCGGGATCTCGAAAATCGGGATCCCGGGATCCCGACCACTTTTCAGTCCCAAAATTTTCGGGATTAAGTTTTCCTAATCCCGAGATTTTCGGGATTGACATCATTTTAAAAAAAGTTGCAAAATAGACTGCATGAAGCGAAACGTTCAGTGCCAGTGCTTTTAACAGAATTGCTTGCNATATATAAAATGGATATAGATATATCAGGTCAGTCCATAAGTTTATGTCTATTTTTATTACCGTGAGAAAAATCTTGTTTTGCTGTTAAAAATGTCAATCTAATGTGATACTTTTTACACTGAAGTGTTAAATTGGATCTCATTCATATAATACTGTTCAAAATTGAGAACATTTCAGTTGTTTATTTTGGTTAAAATGGAAGTAACAGATGAATATAAGAGAGATGCTTTATACTTTTTATTTTTAAGTGGTGAGAATGCTACAAATGCAGCCAAAAAATTAAATACTGTTCATAATCAAACTGTAATTAGTGTAAGGACTGCACAGAAGTGATTTGAAAGATTTAGAAATAATGATTTTAGTGTGGAGGATAAGGCTCATACTGGAAGACCCATTGATTTTGATGATGATGCTCTCTCTGTAACAGTTGATGAAATTGCAGAATGTTTAAATTCATCCCATGGAACTGTTCATAGACATCTACAACAAATTGGAAAAGTTTCAAAGGTAGGAAAATGGATAGCACATGAACTGTCAATAGCTAACCGATAACAATGTGTAAACATTTGCACATCTCTTTTATCCCGTATTGCTTTAGAACCTTTTCTTGATCGGCTGGTTACTGGAGACAAAAAATGGATCCTCTATAATAATGTGAGGAGAAAAAGACAATGGATTGCGACAAGCAGCCAAAACTGGCTGCAAAAGGTGGGTTGCATCCAAAAAAAATTCTTTTGTCTGTTTGATGGAATATGTCAAGTGTAATTCACTTTGAGCTGTTAGAAACTAATCAAACAATTACAGCTCAAATCTATTGTGATCAATTAGAGCATTTAAATGAAAAATTGAAAAAAAAATTTGCCCATCATTAGTGAACAGAAAGCAGGTTCTCTTGCAATTAGAGGATTTGATTCCGGGATCTCGAAAATTGGGATCCCGGGATCCCGACCACTTTTCAGTCCCAAAATTTTCGGGATTAAGTTTTCCTAATCCCGAGATTTTCGGGATTGACATCATTTTAAAAAAAGTTGCAAAATAGACTGCATGAAGCGAAACGTTCAGTGCCAGTGCTTTTAACAGAATTGCTTGCCTATCATTTTAATATAAAATACAAGAAATTTTATTCCAAGCAAGCAGCAGAAATTAACCTAGCGGGCTTGCGATGCTTGCTTGGAATAAAACTTCTTGTATTTTCAACTAAAATGATAGGCAAGCAGTTCTCACTGGGTTACTTGGTAATATACTTCATTTTTGTATTTTTGAATTTTCGCGGGCGCCAATCGATTTTCTGGCGCAGTCGAGAGCACTACTCAGTGCGTTTTACCTGTCAATGTGTCAGCCATCTTGTTTTGCCAGTGTGGTTAATATAGACCCGACGCCTCTCGCTTAGGGGGGTCGACCTTAGGTGAAAAGGTTACGACCCTCGCCTTGCCCGCGATCTGTCAGGATGATGCGAGAAAGTCTTTTTACGTTTCGGGGTAGTGGTTTGCTGGACGCTGAGAGACTCACACAGAGACCGAATTTACAAAATTAACGCGTTTATTTTTAGAAAGACATGCTTACAATGATCGAAACAATCGGGATTGTAGCCTTTACTCCTACAATCCCGATCCGTGTCGACCGGACTGTTTTCTTCCATCCTCCCCGTGTCCTCGAAGCTTATAAGTATTTACTAACGATTCCTCCAACTTCCATCAAACCTAAACGCGTTTTCTCAGCAGCTGCATATATGTGCAACAAATTGAGAAGCAGACTTGGTGATGAGACACTGGATGCGTTGTTATTTCTCAGATCATATTTTCGCAATTCAAATTAGAATGTTCCTATTAGATTAGTTTTCTTTATATTTAAGAAAAATGTGACTGATTAATATTATTTTTAAATACTTTTTGCTAAGAAACTTACTTTACTACCTACTTACTAGGTTGTTATATGAAAGTAGTCTATTTAGTCGATGTTAAGAGAGATTTTTGTTAATTTTCAACGTTTATTTGCATAGTTTGTTACATAAAGGTTTTTTCAATTTATGTGAGTTTAAAGAGATCTCAGTGATGCTTAAAAAAGAATAAATTTAACATGAAGACTGAGTGATTTTAAGTCTGGTTAGTCTGACTCTGAGTCTGATTAGTTAGAGTGATTAAATTAACTAGGTGTATACCGTAAAATACGTTGATTTTTGTCTAAATTTTGATTTTTGCTTTCTGTAAGATTTCTTATTTTTTATTAACCCTCAATACCGAAATAATCCCAGGATCCCGGGATTGAATAAGTATAATCCCGAAATCCCGGGATTAGAAATAAGGACCAGGATCGAATTCCCTACTTGCAATATGACAATGTCAGACCACATGCTGCAAAAATAACTGTACAGAAACTCAAAAGCTTCAACTGGGAAATTTTACCTCATCCAGCATATTTGCCAGATATTGCTCCCAGTGATTATTGTCTTTTTCACAGTTTGCAGAATTTTTTAAAAGGGAAAACTTTTGAGGATGAGAACAATGTAAAACAGGCTATTTCTGAATATTTTGATTCGAAACTGAAATCATCTTACGAAGACAGGATTGAAAAGCTACCATCAAGATGGCAAGAAATTGTACAAAATAATGGTGAATACATTATAGATTGAAATAAAATGCAATTAAAATTTTTTGTTGGTTTTTTTGTAGATAAAAATATACATGAACTTATGGACTGACCTGATAGATAATATAGCATTGCATTTGTAGGCATTTTTATGTATGAAATATGGCTAAAAAGGTAAAAAAGAATTTTGTTTTCGGATCAGGAACAGATTAATCCATTTTACATTGTTTTGTATGGGAAAATTTGTTTCAGTTTGATAACAGATCTGTTTCCAAACAATTTTTAGGAACAAATTAAATTCATAAACTGAGGTTTGACTGTGTTTATTTTCTTAAAAATAATTATGATGATTATGATTTAGGAATAAATTTATAGTGTAAGTTTTTTAAAAAATTATAAATTACAATATAAAATACAAGTAAAAATGTTTTACTAATTTCCAGAAAGGGCTGTGCTTTCTAAATAATGATTGTAATCTTCTTCACAACTATATTTGTATGTCTTCAGTATTTGTTGATCGAGCTGGAGAATGGCGTCTTGGAGGATTAGATTATGTATGTTCAGCAAACCAAAAGTCTCCTTCTAAGTTGTTATTTACTCAAGAAGTGTATAATCCTCCAGAAGTAAAAAGTCAGCCGTGTAATAAAGAAATTCCAAAATGGTACATGATATTGATGTTTTATTTTTTTGAATTTCAAATTTTTTATTATATAATTTTTATATTGAATTTGAAAAAAATTTTTATAGGGCTGCAGATAGTTGGGGATTAGGTTGTTTAATATGGGAAGCTTTTAATGGACCTTTAACAAAACAGTCTGATTTAAAATGTCTTAAAAAGGTATAGAAAAGTTTTAAATTACTGTAAATAATTTTCTACTTTGTCTTAATTAATATTTTAAATAATAGATGCCAAACAACATTACTTCACTTTATTGTGAATTGGTATCTGCAAATCCATCATCTAGATTAAATCCTTCATCTTTTCTTAATAAATGTTGTATTAAAGGTGGCTTTATGAAGAATAAATTTGTAGATACAATGCTTTTTCTAGAAGAAATTCAGGTAGAATTTAAAATATTTAACTATATTTAATACAATGTCTGAAATATTATATACTGGTATTAATTATTTGAGATATTAAATATATGCATTTTTCCCTTCCAGATTAAAGACACAAATGAAATGAATCATTTTTTAAATGTTCTAGTTAGCTTATTAGATACTTTTCCTCCAGACATTTGTAAATATAAAATTTTAAACCAATTGTTAAATGCCTTTGAATTTGGAAATGCAGGCTCAGCAGTTTTAGTACCTCTGTTTAAAGTAAGTTTAAATAATTTTTTGGCAAATTTATTTTATATACTTTCATATACAGATATTCTTACTTTAAAATAGATGTCTTATATCTCCTGTTATTTTATATGGTAAAAAAAATTTATTTTGTATATAAAAAAAACAGCTATAAAGCAGAATCTGGGCTTAGCAGACCCTTCAAACTGGAAAATAGCTGCTTAACTCTGGTATCTGACAAAAATTGCCATATATTTTATAATAACCAGTAGTTTTTAAACAACACAACAATATACTGTTTTATTTTATCAAAAAAATAACATTTATGTGTAAAGTATTTTTACATGATAATTGTTTGGCTTCAAAATTGTAAAAATTAGTACAAAAGTGCCATTTTGTACTAAATTTAGTAATTCAAAATTAATAATTAGGAACCACTGGATAATACCAATTATGCTATCTAAGTTTCTTAAGTAGGAGTTTGGTCAATTTTCTCAACACATGTTTTATTTGATCATTCCATTTCTGTTAGTCTTTTCTTCAATATTCTCTGAGTTTCTTAATTTCATTCCATTGTGTAAGAGAGAAATGCTGTTGCCAATATACCAATGTTTGATACAGAGTGTCAGAGTACTGTCTAAAAATTGAATTGTGAAAATTTCATTATTCAAGTTTAAGGATACAGAGTTCATTCTATAAAATTGTGGCACAGAAGATAAGCATGACCTTTTTAAATTGACATTTATGGGAATCATGTAATCCATTAATTGTCTGATTAATAGAGGTTTTGGGGAATAAGAAGGTTAAGGAATTTTTATCCACTGTCTGCAGAAGGCTGTGTCTGTTTAAAGTAAAATACATTTAAGGTCATATTGCTATGTTGGGACTGAATGTTTTGTCTGCTAAACCCAGGTTTCACTGTATATATTTTGGGATAAAAAAATATGCTTATATGCGATGTTCACTATTTTCAGATTCCTATTATTCAAATAAAGATTAATTTTTTACATATTTTAATTTTTTTATGAAAATGTTAAGTTTAAATATATACATTATAATATGCAGTAAGTACAGAATACAATTTATATGTTTAGTTGAATCAGAAATCAATAGATAATTTTAAAAGAATAGTAATTTTTCTCCTTGTACCATTACAATTTGTAAACTAAATTTATTCACACATTTTCCTAAAAAACTTTGCAAATATTTGAATTTCTATATTAATTTCATCTTTCTTTATTACAGCCAAAATCTATTTAATTCAAACATCAGAGAAATTCTAGAGTTTGAATTATTTCAAACTCAAATTATCTATAGCTTTGAGACAAAATTCTACATCTAATTAATGGAAACCTTCATATTTATATTGAAGGTCTTATATGAGAGAGGACTGAAAAGTTTGTACTATTGAATATAAACAATTTAATAATTTAAAAACTATAATTTTTATTCTTTGACATAATCTCTTTGCAATTCTAAACATTCACTGCAACAGTGTTCTAATTTCTTTATATTTTTCCTACCTTAGTCTTCACCATGTATTCTTTCTTGTCCAGAATATCTCAATATCTCACTTTATTCTTTTTTTATTCCTAACCCATTCCTCTTCATTTCCAGCACATTTTTTACTTGATACACAATATTTTAATACTACAATTTCAGACAAATTTTCTTGGATTTCTATAACAATCTTATCTATGGTGTCTTTAATCTTACAATGTTGCATATGCCTCCTTTGCATGTTTCCTATCAGTTTGAATGTGTTAATGCAAGTTTTTTATAATGTTATATAATTAAAGTGATAAATCTAATAGTCAAGAATGTAACAGAATATGATGATAGACAGTCTGAGAATAGAAATATCAATCTTAGCTGAAAAATTCAAAATTTGTTGCATACATCTCTTCTATACTCAGTCATTTAAATAAACTTTTAAGCTCCTTAAAATATTTTTAGAAAATTACATTTTACACTTTTTGGGCTACAATTTGAAAAAAATTGTAGATCTGTCCCACTGTCATCTGTCTGTTTATCTGTCTATCTGTTGTTCCTTAATCTTGAAACAGAGTTAGATACATGCTAGTCAAGACCAGATATGGAAAGCTTAGGGGTATGAGGCCCTGATTCCTTTTATGGTTCCTTTGTCTTGTATAATTTTAAGTATCTCATCTTTTTTATATATGTATACCAACTGAAGAGGGACTATTCCAATAGTCCGAAATGCATTTTGGTTATTTCTTGTTAATTGTTAATTTAATCGATTTTAATGTACACCCCTTCTCGTTTTATTAAATGTATTCCATTGATACCTGGGTGTTTGTGCTTATTATCACTGGTGTGATAAGTCCTTATTTCTACCTCCCATTAGTGGGTTTTTAATTAATTTAGAAAAATAGCATGTTTAATGAAATTTTCAGGAAAAACATAACATGTTACTGCAACTATTGATTAAATGTTTAATATTTTGAATTTACAGTTAGCAAAGTCATTGGATGATAATGAATATCAACAGAGAATAGTACCTTGTATTGTCAAATTATTTAGTTGTAAAGATAGGGCAACAAGAGCTCGTCTTTTACAACAGGTAATGTAATATTAATATATAATATTTTGCAATATTTTAGAATATTTAAATTACTGCATATGGCTATAAAATTTTTTACAGATGGATCAATTCATTCATCATATTCAACCATCTGTGGTTAATGATCAGATATTTCCACAAGTGGCTCAAGGGTTTATGGATACAAATCCAACAATTAGAGAACAGACAATAAAAGTAAAATTATATAATTACTTTAATTAAAAATAAATGCTTTTTAGTTGTTAATGAGTTTGTATTTTATAAATTATAATTTTTTTTTATTAAACAGTGCATGTTACACATGGCATCAAAATTGAATTATTATAATCTCAATGAAGAAGTCCTGAAGCATTTTGCACGTTTGCAGTCTAGAGATAGTCAGGTTGTGAAGACATTTATTTTCTTAATAAATAAATATAAAATGATTTAAAATTATTATTTTTTGATTTTTATGTAATAGAGCAATCAGTTTTGTTTACCACTATAACTATTATATTTATATAAATACAGAAAATCTTAATTATCTCGCATTTAGTTCAATATTTGNATAATTCCAGTTTGAAATTCATAAATTAATAAAACTTTGTTATCAAATTAAAATTTCATATTTTATTGCTCATTATTAAAATCTGTTTTCATTTAGTGTCAACGTTTGAGTGTGTGTACCTTATCCAAAAACAGAAGGAAAAATATGAAATCTAAAGTACGATGGCAAATTACACGTCGACGAGAACATGTCGGATATTTTCTGCGCTGTTAACTAGTCAAATAATTAGAAATTCGACAAATGAATAACCTGTTTTGCTCGAAAGGTATGATTTCTCCCTCTCGAACCTTACGTGACACGAACGAAAAACAGTTTGAGTGTTACGGATGAACTACTGTAATTGCACGCAATGTTTCAAATTTTTCTGAATTGATTTGCCTAATCGCCTTTGTAGATCCAAAACTAGGTAGAAAGTAAAAAATTTTCACAGGAATTTCAAAATTCAGATGCTTGTCTTAAAAAGTCAAATCCAGTTGAAAACGACAAAATCATCACCGGCTTATCTAGTAATAAAATTGCTTTGAAGCGCTTTGTATTTATACCGTAATATCAGGAGAGATGGTTATTTAATGGCATTTAAATTACTATTTCTAGAAATAGTTTTATATTATTTTTAAAAAAAATGAGAGATTCCACGTGAACAGTTACGTGGGTCTGAAGAATTACACTCGCCAAATAATTACGAGTATTTAGTTGGCGGCTTCAATATTAAACTGATAACAGGAAAGTCACCCTAAAACTCCTTTAGTTTTTCTTTGACGTGAATACGTCTTTAAATTTGCTTCTGTAGCGGGAGGCAATTCAGAAAACTGAACAAAATCGGGGGATACAGTTTGGCATTGCAGCTACATATCTATCATCTACATCCAAAATTTAATTACACCATTCGATAGTTAAAGGATCAAAGAATTTATTACGTTGAGTGGGGACTGTGACGCATCGCGCGCGACGGAGGGGGAAGCGCCGCCATTTTCAGGTCGTTTGCGTTTAGTATACATTTTGACTCGGAGAAGCTACGACGCTCGTTTGAGTTTCAATTCACAACTTTCGTCAATATTTATCGATTGCGTACACAAAACATTAGTGTGGAATAGTTATGGTCAATATATATATGGTGTTAAAGTTAAAAATTAAGAAAACTTAATACAATGTCGGCCTATATTCGTCGAAAACCAAATCAAAATATAGAAATCGTATACGGTTGGAAAGGGTTTCTCAAGAGCAATCCAGTGATACTATACTCATAAAACGCCAAATGATAGAGTAAAGCGGTGCCGGGAACGTAAAAATATTACCCGTTAACGTACACGTATTCACGTAAAACACACTGCCGTGTCCCCGACACAGCCACACCCCACTTTTTTGCTTTTGCAGCTAGACTATTTAATGGAGGAAAAGTTTCTGGAGGATCTTGATTTCCAGAAGTATTTGAATTTAGAACTATAATCAGTGCCGGTGCCAGGTTATATTGCGCCCCTTATTTCACAAGTTGCATATTTTTTAAAATAAAATTTTAAATATATATATAAATTATTTTGGCATGCTTTATTAATAATTTACAATATGTATGATATATGAAAATCAAATTTTAATTTTTCTTGTCTTCAATTTTGTAAAATTTTCTACCAGTTCCTTTAAATCTAGTGTAAAGTTCCTGGTGTTCGATTGAAACTGTTGCCAAATCTGTTAACCTGTTTTGGGATATTGTTGAGCGCAAGTATGTTTTAACAAGTTTTACTCACATGCTAAATTAATTAATAATATTGTTAATTCATTTTGGACACTAAAATTAATTCGAAAAATTAATAACAAATTAATTTTTAATAATTGATTATTGAAAATAAAATGAACTCACCTGATTCAATCGCTCGATTCTTGGAATAACTTAGATATTGAAACATGTTACACGTTCGTCTTTCACAAATGTTCTGAACGGATTATTTTTCAAAAATATTTTTTTATTAATTTTTTTTATAGTATTTTCCTATTCTTTTTCTTTTTCCCATATCCTTCCCCGAAAATTTCCACTTTCTCCACACATTGTTTGGAAAATTCCGAATAAATCTCCACATAAACTAAAATGGTTCTAATCAACATTAAACGAAATAAAATTGTCTTTCAGCTTAAATTAATAGGTATAGTCCCGAGGCGAAAATGAAAGCTGGGGGATTTATCGTAGGAGGTCGCCTAGTTTGCCTAAATAGTAGCGCCGGCCCTGACTACAAGCATATATTAATTGTTATGCTAAGGGAGGACTCTCGCCCATACACTCCATAGGATTCAGCCAACAAACTGGCTGAATCTCCATAGCAATATCATATGTGGTTATAGTTATTAATATACCGTATCTTTGGAAGCTAAGATTCGCCAGTAATCTGATGGGTCGTTGTAGCCCTGAGGGCACTAAGAGAGTAATCATACCTATTACGGATTTAGCTCAGCCCATCCGGGTGGCGAGGGACCTGGCGTACTATCGAACCCCGAAAAATTCTTGGAATTAATGCTCAGATTCGATCTTGGATTTGCCAGAGGTTAACGCTTTAATAGTTTTGGTCATCTGACCGTCCTATTTTATTTATTACTAGAATTTTACAATATATAAAATAAAAAATTGTTCATTATAATACAGATAATTTATTATATTTAATAAAATACTAATTAATCGGAACACAAATGATCCAAATTTTCCATTGCTTGGACCAGAAGTGGAAAGTTTCTTGAGTATTATTATTGATCAATGAAACAATGGGTTTAAAATCGTTTGTCTTAAGTTCTATCGCTATTTTTATATAAAATGAATTTTATATTACAATATAAGTAAATATTATAATTGCTCCGTACACAAATCTACAGACAGTCTGAGGCAGTTAAAGCGTCAGTATCCCTTTTAGGGACACAGGATCGAATTCGATCGGTCGAAAAACCCTAGAAATTTCATGGGCATTCTGTCCCGAATATATTATGTCTCGTCCCTCACCACCCGACCGCTCCAAAACGCATTAAAATGGCTTTTTTTTCTATACTCAGCGATGGAAATGGAAAAAAAGGCTCCCTTTATGCCCACTGGACGGAAAGACAAAAGAGTAAAAAAGGAAAAAAAGATACAGATGCCATATTTTAATTCCACTTTATTAAGAAATTTAATTTAAATTATTCAATAAGATATTTTAAATTACGATACATAGAAAAATATCGAAGAAATATGAAATTTAATACGGCGATTTCACCATTTAATAGTTTTTAATGTTTATTCTTCTAATTTTTCCTGAAAACTTCTACGTCTTCATTTACACGAAACAAATGTATATACAGTACTCGTATATTGTCTAATAACAAATAAAATATTTTAAAAATTTCTTTATCAGATTTGCTTCTGTATTTTATTTCAACATAATACAGTATTTTAATAATTCATTTACACACATTTCTCGTCTCACCAGCAGTGGCGAGGTGGATAAAACCAGTAAACATGTTGGTCGTGGATTCACGCAGATCGCCCACTTGCCGCGTTGCAAAGCAAACATACATTTCTCTTAATTTACTTCTTGAAGCTTGATCTTGTCCATATACTTTTAACATTTTATTCCGACTGTAGCCCAAGAGTTTGCTCTGGCTTCCCAAAAATTGATTTTTGGCCTGAGGCGCCCTTGGGCCACATTTTAAGGGAGCTACAAGGCTTTCGGTTGAGAAACACTGTGATAGATAACGATTTTTCAAACGTTTTTAAGAAATTAAGAATGCACGAGAAACATACGAAATGGAAGAAATAATTCGGAGAGACAATAAGGAAATAGAGAATACTTTCGTATGACTTTCTAGTAATCAAATGTCGACTATTAACACCATCATCTGTATCAGGCAGAACTATGTTTTAAAATAATTTTTATTTTTATTTTTAATACTGTAAACCTGTGTCAACCTTTTATTTTTTCTAGATGGCAACACTTCGAATTTGGCCCGCCAATCGAAAAATTTGGGCAGCACTGGTTCTAAGGAAGATTGATTGATTAGCGCCTGTCAATCTTTGGTATCGCGTTTTGGATGGAAACAAAAGGGTTGTAAAATGTTGTAACTAAAGTTTATATTAGCTCTGGAAACTGAATTATTCTGCTTGTGTCGAACGCAGGCAGAGTAATTCAGCTTAATCGAATAAAACTAATTATTTGACTTTTAAACTAAGAAATTCAATTTCTAACTATCAAATTCAAAGTATTTAATCGAATTTAGACTTTAAACATTCGACAATGTACAACATTTAAATTTAATTGATGTATTTTATCTCGAAGTGAATGATTAAATCTGCGTAAGTGTTCAACTATCTTCAACGAATGCTTAAAGTAGCGTACTTAAATTACGATCGCGATTTGAAATGATAATATGTATTCGACAGTACAGAGAAGAAACCTAGAAGAGTAGAAAAATTTATTATTTATAATGGTGTGTTGAACTTAAGTAAATGTTATTCCACACTATAGCTTCACCAATAAGCATTGTAGCACGAACTTGTTTACGGTTATGGAAGCAAAAAAACATTTTCTCCTGTTGACATATGTTCACGAGCTTAGCACGCTTGAAAAACATAACATATACAGTTATTTCTTACTGAATTAAATTTTAATACTTTAGTAAGCCTTTTTGAGTTTTAATAACAGCTTTTAAAGGTATAGAGTGGATAAATTTCTCCAAATATTCTACATCAAGTTCGTGACACCAAACTCTTCTAATACATACTTGCAGCAGTTGCTATTTGTCTTCACGTTTCTGCAATTTTCGCGTCTATCGTATGACGACAATTCTCAATAGGATTGGCATCAACGGCGTAATCCTAACTAATT